CTGTTGGATCAGTCATTGTAGCAGCCAACAGTTCATTTGATGTAAGAGTTGCAACTTTGTGCTTTGGTTTTAAACAAAACAAAGAAACGTTGGAATCCATCCTCAAAGCACAAGAGAAAGGAAAGCAGCTTGTGTTTTTCATTTAGAAAAGAATTGTGAACCACAGAAAATAACTTTTTTGGGGGGAGGGGGAAGGCTGGGTTTTTTTTTTTAGCCTTCGGTACTTCTCTTCCTTACCACTGTCTGCAATTGCACTATAGTAGCATCATTGCCTTAGAACAGGGGTGTCAAACTTGATGTCATTGAGGTGGCATCCAGAGGTGATATTCGGCAGGTTCTGACTAGTTCTGGAGAACCGGTAGCGGAAATTTTGAGTCGTTCGGAAACTGGCGAATCCCACCTCTGACTGGCCCTGCCCCCATCTATTCCCTGCCTCCCGAGTCCTAGATAATCGGCTGGGTCTTCTTTGGTTGCCCTGCACAGGAGAACAGAGCTGAAAAGCAGGTTAGTGGGGTGGGGAGGGAATGGGGATTTTGTAGTAATCTTCCCCTGCCACGTCCACAGGACCGGTAGTAAAACATTTGAATCCCACCATTAGCCACATTAGGGTTGTGTTTGACCTTGGGGGAGCTGGAGTGGGCATGGCCAGCTCAACGTCATTCTTGTTGGGGGTGCCTTTGGTGATCTGGGTTCTCTGCCAGCGAAAATGGGATCCCAAACTCCGTTTTCGACTGTGACGGCCTCCTGCAACCCTCTGTCAGTGTCACTGACTGAGACACTGCGGGCCAGTCCTTCGCTGTTTCCTGAGTGGCCCCGTGAGCCAGATCTAAGCACCCTGTGAGTCCGATGTGGTCCATGGGCCTTGAGTTTGACACCGCTACCTTAGAACAGGGATATCCAAACTTTTCAACTTCAACCAGGATTCAAATCAGGGAGTGAAATTCCACAAGTCTTAAGAGTGGCCAAGTTTGAACACTCCTGACTTGGAGAACCGAATCAGAACAGAAGTGTGAATATGGCAAGGGAGGAGGACATCTTCTAAAGGCAAGGGTCCCCAACCCCCAGGCTTCAACCCGCTACTAGGCCGCGGCCTATTAGCAACTAGGTCATGGGCGAGCACACTCTACTTGTGCGAGCAACAGGTCGGCGTATGCGCACATGTTTGTGCAGCTCGACATTGTGTGTGCATGTCAACACATTTCTGCTTGTGTGAGTTGAAGCGTGTGTGTGACAGCCTGCCATTCATGTGACCCAGTTCTTTTCTCCTCCCAACCCCAGCTGGGCCGCCAAGCCGCAAAGTTGGGAACTGATGGCCCAAGGCAGGGGTGTCCTTGAGGGCCCCCTCAGGGTTGTGTTTGACCTCGGAGGGCCGGGTTGTGTGGCGGGGGGGGGGGACAGGCAGGACTTCCCTGAGATGATCCTCACTCTCACTATAATCTTCCTCCCTCTCTCCTTTCTTTCCCTCCGTTTCTTCTTTTTCCTTCCCTCTTCATTCTTTCTTCTTCCTTCCCCTCTTTATTTTTCTTCCCTTGCTCTCTTCCCACTTTTCCTTCTTCTTTTTTTTTGTCTTTCCTCTTTCCCTTTCTCATTTCCTGTCCCTTCTTGCATGTTCAAATGCAAAAGGGGAAACATTTCTCCTGGTTTTGTTTTTATTTTCTCCTTTTATTTTGATTTGAAAGCCCTCTGCTAGCTCCATTTTCGCCGGCAGAGGCACCACGGTCTGGTCCTTTGCTGTTTCCAATAGCCAAGGCCCCGCGAGCCAGATTTTAACACCCCATGGGACAGATCCGGTTTGCGGACCTTGAGTTTGATACCCCTGACCTAAGGCATTTTTGTATGTGTGTGTGTATCTACAGCAAGGATTCCCCAAACTTGGCAACTTTAAAACTTGTGGACTTCAGCTCTCAGAATTCTCCAGCCAGCTATGCTGTAGTTGAAGTCCACAAGTCTTAAAGTTGCCAAGTTTGGAGACCTCTGATCTACAGGTTGATGTTACTTCTTGTCCGGACAGATCCCTGCAATTTACTTGACAAGGTTTTGCGGAACTGTCTTGCCATCACCTCCTTCCTAGGACGGAGAGAGAGAGATTGGCCTAACGTGATCCACCTGGGTTTGAGCCTAAAGCAGGATTAGAACTCACTGTCTCCCAGTTTCCAGCCTTCCTCACAACCCCAAATTGGGGTAGGTGAACCCCTGAAAACCTTAGATAAAAACCCAACAGCGCTTCTAAAACTCCAGGATTTATGTGGCGAAGTGAGAAATTTGTTCAGCGAGTTTCCGTCCCGTTTTGCGACTTTTCTTGCCGGCATTTGTGAAGTGAATTGCGGCAGTTGTTAAATTTGTAATGACGTCGTTAAGTGAATCTGGCTTCCCCATTGACTTTGCTCATCAGGAGATTGCCAAGAAAGATAAGTCACATCACCCCGGGACACTGCAACGGTCATAACTATGAACCAGTTGTTGAAAACATCCAACTGTACATCGCACGACCACGGGGATGCTGTGACGGTCATAAGCGTGAAACATGGTCATAAGTTGCTTTTTTTTCCAGTGATGTGGTAACTTCGAACAGTCACTAAACGACTATTGTACCATTGTTAATGTGGCAATAAGGGGAAATGGTTAAACACATGCAGAGAATGGAATGCACTTTCGATTTCCAAGCTGCCACACTGCTCTTTCAAACCCTTTTCCCCCCTCCCTTTCTGTTGGCAAGTCTAAAAAGACCATAGAAATATTTTATGAGTTGACAGAGAAATTCTAACAGCTAGTTAATTGGATTAATTAAAAACAATGAAATATAGCGTTTATCATGGACTGACCCAATTTTTTTTTTCAAAACCAGCACATCAAAGACCAAAACAAGCATCTCCTGGAAAAAAAAAAACCTCTGCATTTATAGCCTAAACAGACAAATATTTGGACTATTTCCTCCATCCCAAACCGATAGACTTTGATCCGTACAAACTCTGCAATATAGGTTTAATTGTGTCCTATCCCCCCCACCAAAAAAAAAAAAAAAAGTGCTGTTTTACTATGTTCTACTTTGCCAGTCACGAAATCTGGGGACTTGTAGTCAAAACAAAATTATTTCTCCTGGGAACCAAGGACATTCTCACCAGGTGCTGGGGAGGCGTGGACTGGAACCAACTGGGGTTGGGCCTGTGACGGGATTGGAATATGTGATGGACATGTGGAAGTGGAGGAAAGACCTTTGGCTCTTAATTTGGGTGGGGAAAATTGTGGGACCTTCAGAGTCAGGTTTGCACTAGATGTGCCAGTATGACATGCCAAATAAATCTGTCTTTGAGGAACACCTAGGCCTCAGAGGTTTGATTGCCTTGGGTTTGTTACTTGGAACCTTGGCACTGGCTGTGCAATTGCCTGTGCATAAAAAGGGATGGAGTGTTGATCACTCATCCGTGCTCACCATCCTGAAGCCAATAAACCATGGCATAAATGTTCTTCCTCCCACATAGCCTTCAGCAGCTCCTGTAACTGAAGACAATCTAGGAAGCCGTTTATAAGACAAGCACGGAAAATCCCTCGAATGCATCCTATTTTGTAAATTGTGGTTAAAGTGTCATAAATAGCGTGGAGCTCATTGCAGGATCTCCACGGCCAATGTTTTCCTCTCACTTTCTTTTTGCGGCCCTGCAAGGACAAAACTCCCCATCAATATAAACACAATTGTATTGTGTCATTGGCCTGGGATGCATTGAAAAATGGATGACACCAGATTGAAAAAGAAATGAGGTGTTGTAAGACGGCGAATGTTGACAGACAAGAGCAGCATAAAATGATGCTATGGCAGAGATGCAGGATGAAACAATGTTGCATCTAGGTTCTGACTTTTAAATGGGAGTGAGTTACTTCTCATATTCCATCTAATACAGGTAGTTCCCAACTTATAACAGTTCATTTAGTGACCATTCAAAATTACATCACTGAAAAAAGTAACTTATGACCAGTGGATTCAATTTTTTTAACTACCGGTTCTGTGGGCGTGGCTTGGTGGGTGTGGCATGGCTTGGTAACCGTGGCAGGGGAAGGAAACTGCAAAATCCCCATTTCCTCCCCACCTCACTAACCTGCTTTCCAGCTCTGTTCTCCTGTGCAGGGCAACAAAAGAAGACCCAGCCAATTATCAGTAGGGACTCAGGAAGTGGAGAATAGATGGGAGCGGGGCCAGTCAGAGGCGGTATTTGCTGGTTCTATGAACTACTCAAAATTTCCACTACCAGTTCTCCTGTTGAATACCACCTCTGCTTATGACCATTTTCCACACTTAGGAATGTTAAAGCAGCCCCATGGCCACATGATCAGAATTTGGATGCTTGGCATGTATTTATGACGGTTGTAGTATCCCAGAGTCATTGTAAAATCTTTTTGCAACCTTCTGCACAGCAATGTCAGTGGGAAAGCCAGATTTGCTTCACAGTCATACTACTGGCTTAACAACTGCAGTGATTCACTGAACAACTGTGGCAAGAAAGGTCATACAATGGAGAAAAATTCACTTTACAAATGTGAACATAAATTTTGGGCCCAGTTGTGGTTGTAAGTTAAGGACGACCTGTACACTTTGCAAAATTTGCAACCCTAAAGAGGAAATTGTGTGATTAAAATACTACAGTCACACACGATGGGGCGCGGAATGTTTAAATGAGGGAACACAACATAGACTCAACTTAGCAGCTTTTAATTCCTGTTTAAAATCACAACAAAATGAGGTTTGAAAGCCAAAGTCGAAAGCTGGCGATCATCTCTTTGAGCAAAGAATGCAGAAATGTTCTGATAACTTTTTTAAAAAAAAGATAACATCTAAGATAATGTTATTCACATACGATCTGGATTAACATGTCCAAGCCTTAAGGAAAATAATTTTCCATATTCAGAAGAAAGAAAAGTTTGCAAATACGCCGTGCTCAGAACATGTATTTCTTTATATACCTGCTCAATTTCAGGTGGATGATCTCAACAGTTTTTTTCTTTTTTCTTTAACGTGCAGGAAAAAAATCGCAACTATTATTCCAAAACCATTTTTCTAGATTTCCGACAGATTTATATTCTGGGTGTTTCTGGATATAGTCACAAGCCAGGCAGAAGTGTGATTTCCAGAAATGAGGACGGTAGACCGAAAAATCCTTCTTCCACTCAAAGTAACTTAGATATAGCGTGTCATTTTGGTCGAGCATCAGAAGGTATTCCGAGAGATTCCTAGGTGACTTGAAATCATCCACGTGGATGAAAGACTGAGGTAGAACGTAATCCTCGTAATTTTCTCTAGGAGGTCCCAGAACCACCGGCACAGATCCAGCCAAAAACGTGAAGTAAATTTTCTCCGTAATATAATCTTTAAAGATAGAATTTTCAAAGGCCAAATAAAACTTGCATGAGGAAATGGTGGGCACGAATTCCTTCCTGCTCAGATGGCGTCCAAACAATTTCCCATAAGTATGAATTTTAATATATTTCTTTAATTCCTTGTAATATCTAATTCTCTCCTGGGGATACCGGTTGCTGACTATCCAACATACGAGTTTGTCTTTCGGGGGCACCACTGCCCGAGAGACGTTTGGTTTAAAGGTGAGCAAGCCGTAAGGTACGTGAATATCGGCATCCCGGCGGTAATTGAGGGTTAGGTTGAAGATGTGGTTCAATCCACGCTTGCGGGGCGAGTGGCTGGGCGACTCCATGTTCATCCAGATCCACTTCTGAAATAAAGGCCTGGGCTTCTGAGGGAGGTTCCTGAGATTCCACCAAATGTCTCGGTGGTGAAAGATGACTGCGTGGGACCGACTGTATGTGCTCCGATCCATGGTGATGTAGCAGTTGGAGATGTTCATATCCAGACAATCTGATGGGTTGACTCTCGTCCCAAAAGGGCTCAGCCAGACCAGTATGAGGGTGACGTTGCTTTGGTTATTATAGAGTTCATTCTGACTGAAGACCATGTCTTGGTTTGATGTAGAATCATTCTTGCTTAGTTTGAGGTAAAACCAAAGCTGGGTGGGTTTGATGTAGACCAGCAGACAGGCCCCAAAACAGATCAGCAATAAAGCCAAGCTGGACCAGAAAACTTTGGATGGTATGCCCATGGTGCAACCTGAACCCCAAAATCACCTCAGAGTGCTTCACTAATCCTGAAAGGATGACCCAGGGCTGGATGGAGAAGGATGACCAACCACCTTGGGCAGCTAGTAGATGTCCAGCTGTTTTTGTTCCACCAGGAACAGCAGGAAGAAAAAGGGGTGGAGCCACAGAGGCAGGGGGCCCGCCCTTTCCTGTTGAACTCTTCCTGCAAAGGAAGGCCACACCCCTTCCTGACTGGAATTAGTCAGGCCATTGAGAAGGCCTCTTGGCAACGTGGAGGCCTGCAGTTTAGAAATCCAGAAAAAAATATGCATTCCTACAAATATTCATACCTACATACGATATTATTTGACCTATTTGCCTTTAGTCCACTGGTGGCTCCCTAGGTCTATATGGAATCACAAGAGGACCTGAGGCAAACAGGTCAACCTTTAAAAAAAACAACAACGAATAAATTAGACAAATTTATCGATGAGCTCAGTCCTCTCTCTGCCCCAAAGCCCGGATCTGCAGCACCATTGACTTTTCACATTGCCTATAGCAGAGTTTTTCAATCTTAATAGCTTGAAGAGGTGTGGACTTCATAGCTGATGGACTTCATAGTATTCATAGCTGGCTGGGGAATTCTGGGAGTTGAAATCCATGCATCTTCAAACTGCCAAGGGCTGAGAAATACTTGGCCTAAGGGTAGCAGTTTACAAATTGGGTGTTTAGATGGGAGTTACTGACTGCACTGCAAGAAGGCTTGGATAGGGTAAAATGACTGGGGGGTTGGGTTCTTCTAGGGCGGGCAAATGGCTGGGGAAGGAGCTGGGGGCAAGGTGGAGGAAAAGGAGGGAGGGAGAGAAGACATCCAGGAAGAAAGAGTTTCAAAGCAAGGCAGATTTCTGAAAATGCATGGGGATAGTATGTGTGTGTGTGTGTGTGTGTGTGTGTGTGTGTGTGTGTGTGTGTGTGT